TTGTCATTTAGTTGCAATTGAAACATAATTTATTTAACGTATTTTCAACAAAAAAATGACAACTGACTATATGTCAATAGTTCACATTGCCCCATAGGGTGGGACAATGTGAACTACTGAGGAAAGTCACACTATTTCATTATCTAATGGCTATGTTTGGTAAATAAAATCAAGTAAAAAGAATTTTTTTATTAAAAATACTTAGAAAACCGGTAACAGAACATTAGTAAAAATAGACACACGTTATATTTATTCAGAAATACAAAATTCACACTGAAATTCTTCATCATCTTCTGGATCTATTCCCGCACATGCTTTATGAGCCCATTTCAGACAGGCCGAGCAACGTACCCATCCCTCTTCATTGGCTGATGAGGAGAACCACTCGTTACAGTAAAAACATTCAGCATCTTCACCATTGCCATCATCTTGTACTTGATGGTTACATTTATTTTTTTTCTTTCCCTTATCATCTTTGGAAGGACAAACTTTTATTTTTTTGTTACTTCTTTCACTATCTTCGTGCTTATCATCATTTATTTTTTTCTTAGCTTTTTCCTTTTTCATTGTTTCTATTGCCTCCTTCGTGTTTATTTCAAGTTCTAATTCTAGCTTATACGGACTAGATGTCAGTACAGCCGTTTTACCTTTTTTAGATTTCCTCTTTGGTTCCATTAATTTACTTCTCTTTGGCAGAGGACGAATGTCTTTAGGGCTGTTTGCTCCAAATGAAGTTGTTGCTCTATTATGTGCAGGGGAAATTGTCAATTGAAAATCGTTACCAGTATAAAGCTTTGCAACTGAGGTTAAAGCAATTACCTCATCTTGACTTAAGTGAGGCTCTGCAGTTGAAGTTGAAGGAATTGCCTCATCTTGACTTGACACTGGTAGACTATTATTCTCCAAATCTCTTTCAGTCGTAGCAGATGGTGCAAAATCGAGGTCTGTAAATATATTGGGATCATAAGGTACTATCCCACATTTTTTAAAAGCGTTAATAGCAGTCAAAGGTGTTGCAGCTTGTAAGAAAGCCTCACCAAAAATTTTAGAGATTTGGAAAGCTGTTACCACTCTGCCTGGGTTGTTATTAAGAAACTTTTCTAATGCCATATCATAATATCGTGCTAAAGGAGCCATGACACCAACATCGGTTGGCTGCATTCGATGGGTGGAATGTGGAGGCAAACAAATAATATGTACATTGTTTTCCCCTAGCCAAATTAATTACTTCTATGTTTTTTGTATGGCTGCTGTGTCCATCCAAAATTAATAAGATCGGATCGTCTTCACTTGGTTTCGTTTGTTGAAGAAAATGTTGAAACCATATTAAAAAGAGTTCACTATTTATCCAGCCACTATCGCTACAGGCGAATATTGAACCTGGAGGTGCACTAGCTTGAAGTTCGACTTTCATTCTGTTTCTTGAAAAGATTAACATCGGCGGTATGAAGATTCCTGATGATGACATGCAAATAACGGCTGTTGTTATTCTACTTCTATCAGCAGAAGTAAGCCGTCCAACTTGTTTCCGTCCTTTATGTGCCAAGATTTTACTATTACATTTGGGGACTGTACCTAGACCTGTTTCGTCACAGTTAAAAAAACGCGTTGGATTGACATGTTTAGAATCCAAAGTAGCTTTATACAGATCAAAAAATTGTTTTACATTGTAACGATTAAAAGCTTCAGCTCTTGCAGCAGATGTTGATTCGGGTTTACGTAATGAAAGCCCTGGGTGCCGTTTTCAAAATCCGTACACCCAATATAAACCTGCAAGTTTGTTTGTTTTATTATATGGATGGTCTATGTTATTTTTTTCGGCTAACTGGAAAGCTAGGTGACGAAGATCAAGCAAAGTAATTCCGTATACACGCTTCTCCATATCTAAGATATCATTATACAATTCTTCTTCCTGTTCCTTGGTTAAAACCGTTTTGTAGAAACCTAGACCCTTTTCGTCAGGAGAAATTCTTGTTACTTTTTCTTTGCATCTGCGAATTAACGTTGCTTTCGGGATACCATAAACTTTACTAGCTTTTAAATAGCCCATCTCCCCAGCTTTAACTGTCCGGATAGCATTCTTCAAGGCAACAAGAGACCAGGATTGTTGCTCAGTTTTCCTCACATAATTTCGTACCATTTCTAACTGCAAAAGAAGCATATAATTAAAAAAGTGTCAAGAAAATATAATGGGGCAATGTGAACCACTCCTAATCCACGTTGCCCCATGCGTAGTACACATTCAAAATATGGAAATTAACGTACCAGTTCACAACGTATCAAAAGCAAATCTTAATTATTAAAAGCACATTTTACAAGCAACACCACAGTATCAAAAAGTTAAAATAATCATGTCTACTTACCGAGAAATCTTTAGTCAAAAGTAGTAAATTCCTTAGATCAGCAGCGACGAAACACGTGTTTTCAATTATAACACGTCTGAACGTACTCCCCGTGCGTTCAAACTTATACTAAAAGTAGATAAGATGTCTACGCATATTTGTAGTAGTTACTAAATGCAGTGTTGCCAATTTTAAACAAAATAACCGATGTGGTTTACACTACCCCCATTGTCCATCATACCCCATCCTCCCCTAATACTAGTCGTTATAATTCACATCATCACCAGATACCGAAAGTATTGCAAAAATAAGAAGGTTCCTGACGAAATTCCATTGAAAGAAAGACGTCCCCAAAAATTGGAATCCAAAAATACACCTCCGTTATTTTTTCCTCTTAAGGACGGAGGAGTTACATGGTACGAAAGTCCGGACCTGGCAGAATCAGAAGTTGTCATATTGTTTCTTTGTTATTTGCATTGTAAAAATTATTATTATTCTTGGTCTTGTTCAGTTTAGATGTATTAAAATTGTAGCTTAGAAATAAAAATATTTTTTAAAAACAAATTTCATTTTTTGAATTTGACTGATCGTCTTGCAGACTAATCGTCTGCACCGCAGTGTTGAATTCTTACCACTCATCCACGATGGATTGATAATTTATTATTATTCCGTGACAAAAGCAGAGAACCACGACCACAGTTAGAGACCTGTGTTCGTAGTTTTCTGACAAGAGTATGAAACTCCTAAAATCGTAGTAGAAATTATTTTTGATTGATAATTTAAAACTTTAAATTAAATTTAAATAAAAATTTAGATAAAATTAATTTAGATTAAATAATCCTTATAAATAAATTATGTTATTCACATTTTTGCTTTATTGTGGTCAGTTTTTACTTTATGCGACATTAAAAAAATGGAAATACGTCACACATACGACGTCAAACATAATAATTATGACCGAAGTGATTTAGCTCGAAGCTAACGTCTAAAGGTGTGAGACTATCGATATTTGTAATATAATGTAATATAAATTATAGGTTTCTATCGATTATTTCCCACCTCTACGAGTTTCATCTCTTTTTATTTCACAAGGTAACTGTGTTTTTTATCTCTTACGTGAAAAAGCCGGGTGGTAAGACACTCAGCACTGTATATTAATATATATATATATATATATATATATATATATATATATATATATATATATATATATATATATATATATATATATTATACATAATATAAAATTAGTATTCCTTGGGTTTAGGTTCAATAAGTAATATTAAATTTAGAACTAGATTTTATTGTTCATTGAAATTAACTTTTCGACTCTGCCGCGGAGATGGCACTTAAAGAAGAAGATACAAGGGACGACATTTTTTCTCTCATCTTGATGGCATTTCGATGTTCTTCTTGTGTAACATTGATTCTTCGGTTGGTCTGTTCAATGTACGATTTGTCACAGTCCCCACATGGAATCTCGTATACTCCTTGATTGTCTAACGATATTTTTGTTTTTGCTGATTGTTTAGATTTTTCACTCGGTATTAAATATTTTTTCTATTTTAAATTTTCTTAGAAGTCTCCATTTTTTTCTATTGTACCCTTTACAGATGGTAGAATGGCTTTTACAACCGGTTTTTTATCTTCTATTGGAACCTTAATTATTTCTTAAGCATTATGAGCGTTTTCAATGGTATATGTTGAAAAGCCGTTTTTTCTTAGCGCTGTTTTCACATTATGCGTTTCTTTATTTTTATGTCCTTCATCTTTCAGTCTTTCGTATCGTGTCATTAGGGTTGTATTATTAACACATCTAAAAATGGCAGTTGTTCGTTTTCCTCCAGTTCCATGGTAAACTAGATTTTATGGTATAAATTATTGATGTGTTTTAAAAATACCTTTAGTTTTTCTTCTTCATGTGTCCAGATTATAAAAGTATCACTCACATATCTAAACCAAAATTTGGCTTTGTGCTCGGCTGTTCCAATTGCTCGCTGTTCTATTTCTTGCATAAACAGGTTTGCTATTACCGGTGACAGTGGTAAACCCATCGGTGCTCCTTTACTTGTTTATATATTTGCTCGTTATAGTTGAAATATGTGTTATTTAAGCAGTGCTTTGTTAGATTTAGATTATCTTGTGGTATTGGGTACATTCTGTTTATAATTTCTAATGATTCATCTATAGAAACATTCGTAAATTTGTTAGGAATCTGTAAAGTTGTGGTGAGTCGATTTTTGATTTATTAAACTGACTCTGAGTCGGTCAAGACAGTCAAATAATACCAAAGAATTATATGTGATTCCCATAGGAAGTTTAATCTGGTAGCACTTGTGAAGAAAGCAACCACACGTATTAGATTTAATTGTGTATCTGTCCTGTATTACTTAATTAAAAATTCAAAAAACATGTTATTATGCAAATCCTTTTATTTTAGTTTGTATTAATAGAGTAAAAGTTAATTAACATACAATATATATAAGGTTCTCGATGATCTAGAGTAGTAAAATTTCGAGTTCAGATTATTAGAATAATTCAATTATGCCCATCACTGCTATTGAATACAAATTTTCGAAACACTAAATAAACAGGAGAAACTACGTTCGTCGAAAAACATATTGTCATAATAATTTTTGGCATAACCTAATTCTTGAAATGCTCAAGAGTAAGTATCAGGAATAAAATAGTATGTTATAAAATCCTGCAAAAATCCTCACTAGATTATAGAAATACCTAGAAAATAGAAATATGTATTTTTAATATCTGCATATGATTTATATATTGAAAGAGTTTGTTAGCATAGTTTCTTAATTTACTTAAATTTTTGGTGGAGTTGACATATAATATTAACTCTTTTTGCAGGTATTAGCAATCCACCAACAGCAAAAAGCGGAAATGATTTGCCACTTTCCAGACTTGTTAGTTTGATTTTATATCCTGATGTTCCCAAGGAAGATCCAATATGGACTTTGAATGCTATGCAATACGGCCAAATTATTACTCATGATATGAGCATGATTCTAGGAAGTACACAAGCACGTAAGTTAATAAAGACTAATAGACTTGGGTGGATCTTCGAAAAAATGACTATTTGAGAGTTATTTTTGAGGTGGTGGATTATAATTTTTTCAGAAAAAGTTGTGATAGCTTCAGTAATAAAAATTGACTTATGCTTCCTCTCAGGTAGGTTGAAAATATTACTCAAAAAATAAAAATATTTAAAAATTACTGACAACATCGTTTTTTCTACTTTTCTTGCTTATAAATTTAAACCGAATTGTACAGAATTAAAATAGCTATAATTGAATTTTCTATAAGATATAACTGGTTAAATATATTCTAAATGATCACCTTTGTTGTAAATTAGCAGTAACTAAAAGGGGGCTTTTTTATTTAATGTTTTTTAACCACTTAGATTGCACATAGGACCTTTATAATTCGCCTAGAAAATCCAGACCAAATTTTATTACAACAGATTTAATATATTTTTCATAATAATTTTGCAATCTAATTATTTTTTGTTTTTATTGAAATTGTTTAAAATCTTGCACAACAAAAATTAGACATTATTTTGTAATTTATATTCACAGAACAACAATCAGAGTTCGAGTTAGTACTAAATGTAAGTTACTAAAAGTAAATTAAAGAATTGACTTGTTTTGACTGTTCTTTTTTTGTTTGTTTGTGATTTTTTTTATTTTTTTTTATTTTATTTTTTTTATTTTTTCCTTGTATTACTTTTTTAATATTGTATGTAATATGTATATATATTTTTTACTTTGTTTTGGTCTTTTTTATATTAATTTTGTTTTGCATACTTTTTTTTATTTATTTGTTTTTTTTTGTTTCTTTTTTTCCATTTTTTTTTTTTCATTTTTTCGTATTAAAAGGTTTATTACATGATTGATATGTTCGCAAATTGCTTACAAGTTTTATCTTAATTCTAGGGTTGGTACATTATATTGTTTAAAGTTTATATTTACAACTTCTTATTAACTGATAAATATCTACAATTAAAGATTTCTAAGTTTCCAGAGAAAATTAATTCATTTATGTGAAATGGGAAACTGACATTTAGTTTTCGTTAGTTTTCATAAAAACATGTAATATTTCCTTGTTGGTTTACACATTCTAATAGGATATGTGTTAAATCTCCATATTTACCACAAGTACAGTTTGGAGTGTCTGCTAGATCCATTTTGTCCATTCTTGAAGGTGTTAGGGCGTGATTTGACCTTAGCCTATTAATAGTTTTAATAAAACTTCTGTTGGACTCTAAATAAAACCACCTTTTTTTAAGATATGTGGATTGCCAATATTTAAATGATGACTGTCTTTCGGATTCCGTATAATTGGCTTACCATTTTAATTTGAGCCGATGTTTGCTATATAGATCTATATCTGACACCGGTAGAATGGACCTTTGATCCATGCGATAATAACTTCTCCTCCGAGCTTTGAAACCTCGTAGTACAATTTTAATATCTCTATATCAAGATGAGTCAATTGCTTGGATTTATTTGTTTCACATAATCTTTTAGAAAAAACTAAATAATATTTATTTTCGTAAAACGTAATTAATTCTCGAAGGGACGGTATTTTTGTATTTATTGCGGACCGATTCAAATTGTGACTAATAGATTACTAAACTAAACAGACATTCTTTATTTTAAAAGCCAGACGGTAAACTCAACTTGGTATAGGTATTACCAACTGCAAAAATGTAAGTTTTAATATGGGATCTCTTATTTAATTTTTGAATAGAAAAGTTCCTATAGAATAGAGAATTGCCTATAGAATAGAAAAGTACCTATAATTATTCGTAATTAGCTTGTCGCTACACTAGTTTGACAATTTTTTTACATATAAAAAAGAACTTAGTTTTAGCAATTTAAGAATTATGAGCAGGGATTATATATTATTTTAGTACTTCATTCCATGTTTCTATATTTTTTTTGCAGTTATTTCTCATTTTTGACCAATATGACGACGTCGTCAGCGAACACTCCTTCTGAAATGTCTACTCTTCTTAAATTTTTATAACCCACATGCATTTTTTTCACTTTTATGTTACATTCTTTAATTATCTCATCCGTGTATATTATAAATATGGTTGCACTAAATCATGCTTCTGGTCTCACACCCCTGCTTGTGGTAACAAGTTTTGTTGTTCTTTTTTGACTGATGACATAATTTATATTACTGTTTTAAATGTTCCTAATTACCCTTATCATTGTGTTACTAATACCTCTCTTCTCTAATATTTCCCATAATTTTTGCCTTGATACCATGTCAAAAGCCTATTTAAGGTCTATATATGCCAGATACATCTTTTTATTATTTGTTTTGATCTATTATTTGTTTTATAGTAAATATATGATTATGAGCGCTTCTGTCTTTTTTAAATTCGCTTCATGATTCTTCAACTGATTCAATAGATTTTCGTATATTTTAATGCCAGTACTTACGAGTGCTATTCTTTTGTAATTATTGCAATCCGTTTTATCGCCCTTTCTATAAATCGGTATTATCTGAGCCTTCTACCAGTCGACTGGAATCCTTCTCTCCATACGGCAATAAATATCTTTAGTAATAACCCTGTTGTATTTTATCCATTTTTTATATAATTTCATTTGTTTTTCTGTCATAACCTGGTGCCCTCCCATTTCTCATTTTGCCGATCATTTATGGTTACAGGACCTACATTATCATCTTCTATTTTCTACTTCAACAGATTGTTTTCTTCGTGATAGCAGTTTATAGCATCTCTTGGAAATATTCTCTCCACCTGATCATTTTTATTTTCTTCTCTGAAAAGTTCGCCAAAACCTCTTTATATTTTTTTACCTTAATTTTTTTCTTTTTCATTGATTTTAAAACTCCACAGAACAGCTTCTGATTTTCTTTACTGTTTGTTTTCATCTTTTCACCAAATTCAGTTCATTTTTCCATTTTCACTTTTGTTACAAATTATTTTACTAATCTACTATATTTTGTATATTCTTTATAGTTTTTTGGTGCTTGTCGCCGTAGTTATTACAACCTCTTTGAAGTACATACTTCCATAGTTTATTTCTTAATTTTTATGACCTAACAGTTTTATATTCTTGTTTTTTTTTTCTTGCAGTTTGTTATTATCTGACCGATTTGTTTTATTTTCATTACTACTAAATGTGACTTCCTATTTCTGTACCGTTTCTAATTTTTGTGTTTATTATATAACTATCGATACATTATATAATATTACATAATGATCGATTTCTCTTTTTTAACTTCTCTTGTGTACTTGTGATGTGCATAAAAAATTATTTGTTATTCTTAAATTATGCATCATACAGAAGTCTAGCATTCTTGTGCCAGTATTACGAGCATTTCGTGCTGTTTCTCTATATTTTCCTAATCTCTCTTTTTATTGTCTTATTGTCGTGGTGTCTTATTTGATTAATTTCATGTTGAATTTCTTTCAGCTCTCTTTTCATTTCTTGTGTATCACGCCTCATCCCTTGCGTTTCTTGTCGATATTTTCATCTTTGTTCTGTTTAACTGGTGTTCTAGTTGTCTTTTCTTTCCTATTTCGAAATAGTCTATTTATTTTGTTCATCCTCATTTCTCCTCCTTTTATTAAAACCTTCATCTGTTGAGTCACTATTAGTGCTTAATTGAATTTTATAATTTAATTTTATCCTATTGAAGTGTTAAGTTTAATAATTTTACATTGCCCAAGTGCGGCTCTGTTCACTTTTATTTTTGAACGATAAAACCCACTTAGACAAAAAAGCTGGATCAACTCATCGAATCCTGTTTTGTCTATCGGAATATAAATATATTATGGCACTTGTTTTTGTAATTTATTAAGGCGCGTACAGACTAGCACACGCATGCGGTGAGAAGCCACGCATATGCGTGCGTACTCAAACCATTCGCGCTCAGAGCATTCGTTGAAATTAGAAATCACCGCATATGTATGCGTGCTCAAGGCGCTCCATCCATTCGTGAAAAAATGTCTGGGGAGCTGCTTATGGTTAGTACCGGGTTTGTGTTATTAGTTCATTAAAAAAGAAAAAACAAAGGAAAAATAGGCGATGGTGGACGACGTATTTATTTAAAAGAAGAACCCTACAAATGAAGTCCGATTTACTAGTAGATTTGGCGTTAGAACCTAATACTGGACAAATTCAAAATTTTACACGTATGTCAGTAGAAGACTTTGAACGCCTTTTAAATTATATAGGCTCTGTAATAAAGAAAAACGACACAGTCTTAAGAAAAGTCATACCTGTTAAGGAACGTTTACTGATAACATAATATAGGGTTTTCTTCATACAAATCTATTAATTGCAAACATTGTTAATTTGACCACTCCATTTTACACATAAATCAATAAAATCACACGGCAGGAAGATCTTGCGTAGACCACATTTATACACTCCAACAATTAATTGAAAAAAAAAATGGCAAAAAATAGACCAGTACATATGGCATTCATAGATTTAAAAATGGCATATGACACGGTTCCAAAAAAACAACTATGAAACACGATATGAAGGAAATCGGAATAACTCAGAGATTAATAGAAGCCGTAAAAAACCTTTACAACAACAACAAAGTAAGAGTTAAACCGGCAAGAAATACTCCAACGAATTTAAGACCACAAAAGGCTTATTGCAAGGATCCTCTACATCTTCGACACTATTCAAGATATTCCTCGAAAAAATATTAAAACCATTCTCCTTCTTCATGTACCATGTCCTTTCAGAACGTTGGTTACCATCATAGCTATTTTAATTTTATTCACTGCCACCCTAAATAGCATGCTTGTATCTACACCATACCAATCTCGCAAGTTCTTCAACCATGAGGTTCTTCTTCGTCCTGGACTGCATTTGCCTGCTATTTTTCCTTGCATGATATTTTGTAGCAATCTATATTTGGGACCTCTCATTACATGTCGGAAATATTCCAGCTTTCTCTGCTTGATGCTTTTTATGATCTCAGTAGTCTTGCTGAGACGTTCTAGTATTGTGGAGTTACCTTCTCCACCCAGGAAACTTTTAAAATTCTTCTATAGCACCACATTTCGAAAGCCTCAAGGCGATTTAGATCGATTTTATTCACAGTCCAGGACTCGACAGCATAAAGTAAGACCGAGAACACGTAGCAGCGAAGTAGGCGGATCCTTAATGCCAATTTTACGTCTCTGTTACATAACACCTTGGACATCCTTCTAAAAGCAGCTCTAGCCTGCTCTATTCTGGATCTAATTTCGCCGTGATTTTCTGCATTACAATTTAATTGCTGTCCAAGGTAGACGATTTTATCAACTTGCTCAAGTTTGGTATTATTTACATATATAGACGGTTTTATATTCTGTTGTTTACTTATTACGAGTATTTTGGTTTTCCTTATGTTGAGATCCAGACCTGCCTCCCTACAACTCTCAACGACACTATCAAGTAGTGTTTGCAGATCTTCTTGACTAGAAGCTAGGAGTACTGTATCGTCCGCATATCGCCGTTATGCGGACGAATTATTGATGACTTCGCCGTTCACAAGTATTCCTTCTTGTTTTTCAGAAAGTGCTTTTCTGAAAATTTTTTCGGAGTAAACGTTAAAAAGCAGGGGTGACAAGAGGCATCCCTGCTGTACTTCTCTTTTAATATTGAGAGCTTGTGATTCCACACCATCTACTAAAACTGATGTTGTTTGATTCCAATATAAATTTGCAATTATTCGAACATCTCTGCCGTCCAAGGCAATGTCTTTTAGAGCTTCGATCGATATAGAGTGCTTAACACGATCAAATGCCTTTTGAAAGTCAATAAAATAACAGTATATGTCTACAGATATATCACGACATCTTTGAGCAAGTACGTTCATTCCAAACAGTGCCTCTCTCGTTCCAAATCCGTTACGGAAACCAAACTGAGTGTCATCCAGGTATTCCTCACATTTATTGTAGATACGACCATGTATTACCTTCAGAAAAATTTTCAATAAGTGGTTTAACAAACTGATGGTTCTATAATCAGCACACGTTTTTGCTGTTGTCTTCTTAGGTAGAGCTATAAACAGTGAGTTAGACCAACCATTAGGTAGTTGTCCGCTGGTATAAATGGTATTGAAAAACGAAGTTATAGCCTCTAAAACATTGCTATCCTTTATAAGCTTATATATTTCAGTTGGAATTTCATCAGGACCAGTCGCTCTGCCATCTTTTGATGATTTTATGGCCTTTGTAACCTCACAGCGAGTTATTAGGGGTCCGTCGCAGTTAGTAATATCGGGAGGTGAACTACTCCTATCGTCTTCGAATAGGTTCGTGACGTAATTTTCCCATTCTTTAAGTTTGTCCTCTACTTAGAATATTACTTTACCATTTTCATCCTGTAGCAATGCATTTTGTTTCTTATTGAAGATACCAGCCGCTTCTTTTACTTTTTTTTACTTTAAAAGCTTTAATTAATTTTAACAAGCTTTAACTTTAATAGCTTTTTTTAATAAGCTTTAACTTTAAAAGCTTTAATTAAAACCATGGAAAAGGAAATGTGAAGGTATGAGAATACCAATCCGGGACAACTTCTTGTACACATTAAGCTTTGCAGATGACCAAGTGGTAACGGCTCAAGATGAAGAAGATCTGTGCTATATGCTACGAAAATTAGAAAAGGAATACACAAAAAATGGACTGGAAATAAACCTAGAAAAGACCAAATATTTAACAACAGAGCAAGAACCAGTGAGAAACTTGGAAATGGACGATGATAGGGAAATTAACGGCACCGAAAAATTCAAATATTTAGGATTCATACTATCAAAAAATGGAACCACCGAGCAAGAGATAACCAGCAGATTAGCACAGACAAGAACATGTATTAAACAAATGAACAGGGTACTGTGGGATAGACAGATTACCATAAATACAAAGAAGATAATTTATAACACCTTGGTACGCAGTATAATGACCTATGGAGCAGAGAATTGGGTAATAAATAAACGAAATAGGTCCAAAATCACAGCAACTGAAATAAAGTTCATGAGAAGAAGCTGCAGAGTGACAAAAATAGATCGCATCAGAAATGAGGAGATAAAACGAAAAATGGCAGTAGAACAAGACATACTAAGCTACATCGAAGAAAAAAGAACAGATCATACAACTTGGATAGCAAAGATTTCGGATTGGAGCCCAATAAGAAGGAGGAAAAGAGGGAGACCCTGAAGATCATGGAGGGATAAAGCGGAAAAGGCCATGGAAAGACGAGACCTTAGAGATGGAGAATGGCAGAACAGAAAGGACTGCAGACGTTGGCTGAAAGAAGGAAGACGGCGACAGCTATAAAAATCCATATATAGATAGATAGATCAATAAAATAAATTAAACTCAATAAATCCGAACTTGTCTTACAAATGCAACGAATCCCCACGCTATCCGTCTAAACTGAGCGTGAACGCACACGTATGTTTTTTTGATGTGTGCGAAAAAGCCGACAACACTCTGGCTCGCAGCATGTGTGCTCAAGTCATTCGCAAGAAGCAACGCATGCGGCGAGAGGTTACAAAAGCGCAGTCCACATTTGCACACGTATGTGTATTCGTGGCTGCTCACCGCATGCGTTTGTAGGTCTGTACGCGCCTTTAAATACTTACCCAAATATATTATTGGATGGGTCAACCACTTACAATAGAATCACTTTTGACTAAAACTTTTGTAATAATGTCACTTGATACCACCCAAAGTTCAGTATACTTTTGCAGCTAATTATTACACGTGTATTGCTGATGAAACCAGAAGTAACTAACTCATTTTTTAATTGTTTACTGTTAAATATTTTTTTAAAATGTATCTTCACTTATTTTCCAATTAAGAAACCAATGTGCATTTTATAATCAATATTTTTGTGACTTCCTATATAACTTAATTAAAAGATTAAAGACAATACCTATAATGAAAGCAAATAATATGTAATTACTTCTATTCTAGAGCCCCACGGTACTCGTTGTTGCTCCAATGATGGCCAATTGCTTGAACTCGCTAACATTCCTGATCATTGTTATCCAATAGTGCTACCCGACAAAGACCCTCAACACTCCCAGACAAATACTAAGTGCATGAATTTCGTTAGAACTATTACCGATCGTGATCGCAACTGTGTAGGAGGCAATCAACCAGCTGAACAGGTATGTATCTACTACATAAAAGTAGGTACCTATAAGGAATATACCTATAAGAAGTTATAGGAACTTCTAGTTGTGTGGTATATATATATATATATATATATATATATATATATATATATATATATATATATATATATATATATTAAGATAATATTAAATATCAGAGAAAGGGTAATCAAAATGTTTAGAAACCTAGAATGAACTTAAATGGCGATTAAAGAAGTAATTTATGAGTTATATGCTAGAGAATATTATAAGAAGTATTTATATGAGGGCATCTTTAAGAAATTAGCATAATAGTTTGTTTAAAAAGTTTTTATTTTCAAAAGAAAAGGTAAAAAAGTATTTTTGAAGTGTGTATATTTTAAATAATTCCTAGCTGAGCGCTTTCGGCTTTACAAAGCCATCATCGGAGCTATGCTACAATAAAATGTTCTTATCCTACTAATTGGTGAAGATTTTAATTTTTTAACTTACGTCAATTTATAAATACCACTACAATGGAGAGATCTCATTTCCTTATATGTCGAAATTATGATTTTTTAGTTGTTAAAATTCTTAAAAAACATATAAAAAACATATAAAAAACCGACACTGGAATTCACAGACACATTAAAAAATTGAAAAATTTTTTGTCATGGTACGGGTTTAAGAACCCGACCATTGATTGATGTGAGGAGACAGACAGACTAATGAAATCAAATGCCAGTCCTTTTAAACGATTTTTCAAAAGTGACAGTTGACAAATGTCATATATAGGAAATAGAGATTGTTTTTTAAATTCTTACAAAATTATTTAATACAATTCGTAGTTTGGAATTACTAATAGTCATCAAAAACTTTCTAAAAATTAAGTTTTTAAGTTTTTAAATTAAATCTTATGTGTTCATCACATCATACAGAATGACATTAGTTTGTAAATTCACTCAAGTCATTGCTCAAGGTCAATGTATGTTCAATCTGACAGTCATCCTTAAGAAACAAGGGCTCAAATTGTTCAACAATAATATAAAGAAGAAACATGATATTAATGTTACATTATCTGATACTTAAGTGTATTGAGAATTGTATCTCTTGATGGAAATTTGTAAGAAATTTGCATAAAAAATTTTTTTAAGAATATATTTTCATGTTTCAATTAAGAATAACTGTCAAATGAATTACAAAATGTTGTAAATTTCTAATAAAGTTTAAAATTTTGTTTAACCCTGCTGTACCGTTCGAGTAAACTACACAAATGTACTGTTCGGGTCAATATGACCCAACTATGATTTACGCTCCATAATAGAAATAAAATAAGCTAATGGTGCTAAACAAAACTGTATTAATAAAAAATCATAGTTAATTAAACAATAATTATATTGTTACTGTAAATTAAACCTTATTAACAAAAATAAAAAGCATTTTTTCTTTCCCAGAAAACCCTAAGAACAAATATCTACAAAATTTAATTCAGTTTACAACTGGGACAGTAATAGAAAGAATGGGTTTTACAAATATGTTTATGACATATACAACATAAAATATTAGTCTTGTTATCCCTTTTAGAGCAAAATTTACAGCGTGCTCGTTTAGCAGGCGGAGTTGGATGGTCCATAGACGGTTCACTAGAATTTCCATCTTCTCTACTCGCTTCTGCTCGTGTTCTTTTTACCAGTTCTTGTGAGTCTTTAATTCTCGGTAAATTTTTCCTGGAAAGGATAAGTGGTTTCACCAGTGTTTTTCCCAACTCCTCAAGAAAAATTCGTCGTTTTGTAAGTTTATTGGTATTCCATTGGGGATTTATCGATGTCCATAAAACGAACGCGTTGTAGGCAGAAATGTCCAGCATATTGTAAAAAACAATCATGGGCCAGCGATTTGTCTTCCTCTTACATGTATATGTACCAACAAGCTGATCTAGAGTATCCACTGCCCCCTTACTGGAATTGTAATCTAAAATAATTTGGGGCTTCTTGTCATTTCTGTCACTAATAGCCTTCTCATGATGCAAAGAACTCATAAGAATAACATTTTTATTCTTTTTAGGAACATAGTTAACAACAGTGGTATCTTGTGTGAAGTAAAAAGACGAACTATGAACTTCTTTATTCGCAATTTGTGCTGGAAGCTGTCGTTTATTTTTTCTTATAGTCCCCAGCATTGTATTTTTTCTTTTTAGAAGTTGTCCTAAATTGTACGATGTAAAAAAGTTATCACATGTAATATTGTGGCCTTTCAAATCACTACTCAAGTCGCACACCACACGCATTCCCTGATTTCGTTCTGGCGCGGCACCTGCTTCCTTTCCTGTATAGATCTGCAATTTTAGAGCATAAGAACTTTTACTGTCACATAAGGCCCAAATTTTTATGCCATATTTCGCTGGCTTGCTTGGAATGTACTGTTTGAATGGACAGCGGCCTCTAAAGGCAACTAATTGCTCGTCGACGGTAACATTTTCATCAAAAAATTTTGGTTGATTTTCAACCCATTTTCCCAAATTTCACGTATTGCAGCAAGTTTATCAGTACGTCTCCTATCCTGTCTAGTAGTCTTGTTATCAAAACGTATTACTTGCGAAATTTTTGTAAATACTTCAAGGGACATTGTTGCTCGAAATATACTACGACCCGTTTCTTCATTCCACAAACTTTTAGTTGATTCACCATGGGACTTAAAAACTCCAGCTAACAATAACAGACCAATGTATGCTTGAAAACCAATTTTATCTAAGTCTTTCCAGTTGTTTCCAAAAACACGCTGTCCTTCCATGTTGGTCATATTTATAATTTGGTTTGCAACTATGTCAGAAAAGAGTGCGTCAAATGAATTTTTAATATCGAAAATTCGTGCACATGCGTACCTTGTAACTCCTGGAGCATTATTTATAACATTGTCCGTAGAAAAACGACCGCGTTGATAAGGAGGATCGAGCGACCATTGGATAGTATCGTCTTTTGAAGGAACCGTTACAGAAGGTTCTACAGGATGTTGTACGTAGAATGGAACACCAAAGGATTCATCACTACTTTCTTCCTCACTCTCACTACTTGTATTGTTTTCTGTTTCTGATATGCACTCATCACTCTCTGACACGTTCGCGAGCTCGCGAAGCTCATCTTCGGTTAGCGCTCTACGGTGCGACATTATCAACATGCAAACATAGACTGAAATTTGAAATATAAACGAATAAATGAATGCGCTTGGCCTTGGAATATTAGTGTTTTACCACTTGTCTATCACCCCCACTTCCTTTTACGTGACATGCCATTCTACCTGACATCGTCCAGCTACACTACACATATTTTACAAGTTCTAGCTTGTAGAAACTTGTTTTTATTTATAGACGTACCTGACTGACAAACACTATTAGAAAATATAAAATACTACCAACTAAACATACCTATACAGGTAATTTTTAACGGTTTAAATAAGTGGGTCATATTGACCCGAGCGTACCATAGGTAACAATTTAATTTTTATCAAAAAAATGAGCAAGTTGATTTTTTATCTTTTATGCAATTGAAAGACCTCATATTAAGTAATAAAGTCACGAAACACCAAAACGTTACGCCGCGTAATAATTTGTAAAATAAGAAATAATTTTTTTTTGGGTCAAATAGACCCGAACAGGACAGCAGGGTTAAAAATATAAAATTATGAAAAAATATAATAAGATTGCATGAGGTCACCCTTCTTCCTCTAAAGTCTCCCATAATAATTTAAAAAAGAGGTTTATAATTGCAATTGAGTTTGATTTGTGTGTTTAAGCAACAATCAGGGTTTAGTTTCATTTCTTTGGATATCTCAAGATCTTCCAAGAGATTCATGAGTCTTAAGTTTTTATTGGGAATGTTGTGTAAAATTTCACTGTTTTCAGAAGGAGAAAAGGAATGATTATTAAATTTAATGTGATATCCAGAGTTTGATTTTTCTGGGTTATTGAGGTGTTCTTTGATTCAGAGTTCTCATTGTTCTACCTACATAAGTCATATTACAGTCACCACAGGACAGCTTGTAAATACCACTTCTGTTTAGTTTGTCAACTTTGTCTTTGGTCTTGCTGAAGATGGACTTGATGTTATATTTGGTTTTAAAGGAGATGTTTAAGTCACTGATTTTATTAACAGTCAGTCAGTAATTAATCAGTCTTTTGATAGTTTTTATTTTGCAATGTATTTGGTTATTTTAATAAGTATGATATTATAAATATATATATATATATATATATATTATATATATATATATATATATATATATATATATTTATATATATATATATATATATATATATATATATATTTATATAAAGATGATGGTATTGTTGACTGTTGATTTAAATATCAAGTTATGATTTTTACGGATGCAGTCAGTCTAGTTGGCCCACAAGACAAAGCAAACTCTTTGACGAAGTAAGTAACATTTATTGTTACATATTAACATATCGTAATCTCACTTTCTATCGACATCCTAACATTAAAAAATTCATATGTGCTTAAGCCAAACTGACTGGATTAATTTATATTTTTTATCGAAAATTAAATAAATAATAATAAAAACCATTGTTTCTGGTTTTGCTTTCCACGTAAAGTAACTGTACATTCATATAAGTCCATTAATCAAACCAACATGACAATGACATTATATAGTGACAATCATGATATAAGGAAACAAGGTATGCTCACTAGGAGATGACAATATAAGGAGCTCCCTAACTTTCGCGTGATTGGTTGGTGGGTGGGTCCCAATTTAAAAATTGGCGGGTTTCATGTTTATTAAAATGACAATTGAGGTATTGTCATTGTGGCACAGTCTATGTGGGTAAACAATTTATTAGCAACATATTGTGGTATTGGTACAAAGCGGATGATATTCACATTTTAGGATTAAGCTGAATAGTAAAGTTTTATTAGAAATTAAAAGCTAGTGATGCTTTTTTTTTATTAGATATATAGATATTATTGTTTTAATTTTTTTGTTTAGGTAATTTTTTACTAAGATTTAGAGGTTCCTCTTAT